TGAACTATATCTACAGCAACTCAACCTCCTTTTAAAATTTTTTATTGAGGTAGGGTCTGGCAAAGTCACTAAATTGCCCAGCCTGGGCTTGAACTTGGGATATGCCTGCCTTAGCTTCCCAAAGCATGGGGATTACAGGGATGCTCCCCTATGCCTGGTTTGAATTGTTTCTTCATGAGGAAACATAAGTTATTAAAAAGTCAAGTTAGATTCTTAAATAAAAGCTAACATGAATTCATCAGCCTAAGCAAACTTGATTCTTAGATTTTGAAGCTGTCTTAATCCATCAAAGAAAAACCGTAAAGTCAATCAGAGGAATGAGGTAATGGGAAAAAAATATTCATCAAATAGTAACTTTATAGTACTTAATACTTTTGAGCTTTCTACCACTGAGCTACATCCCCAGTCAAAATACTTAATATATTTTAAAACCCTGAATCTCAAGATGGTAGCAAAACTAACTAGAATTCCTAATCTCGAAAGTGCTTTCTTCTTTCTCAGAAAGACTATCTGGGAATCCATTTTAGTCTGATAGACAACTTAAAATTTACAAAATTTTTCAAAATTTCTGCAGTACTGGGGACTGAATCCAGAGATCACTGAGCTACATGCCTAGACCTTTCATTTCCCCCAAACAGGGCTTTGCTAACTTGTCTAGGCTATCCTCAAACTTGTAATCTTCCTGCCTCAGCCTCCAGATTAGTTGGGATTATAGGCATGTGCCATGTACCTGGCTGGTCAGTTTCCTGCTTTTGTCATCTGGGTGGTTAACAGGCTTTATGATTAAGAGAGGACAGGGAATAGGGAAAAAATAAGAACCAAGATACATCATGTACAGGTACAAGTACCCAATGATAAATGTAAATGTATTGTATACTTAAAATGTACCAATAAAAGAATTTAAGGGGAAAAAAAGCTTTGTGAAATTTATTCGACTAGTATGTCATCTCAATGAGAAATAAAGACCTATTACAAAGACTTATTTCACATATAAAACAACATTGTTTGGCAAGTACCATTTTTGTTTCCCATCTTTCCTCTCTCGTCTTTCAATGAAATTGTGATGTTAGTGATCTATAAATCTAGCCTATTTGAGCCCAGAAGAATTCCACTAAAAAGATATAATTCTGGCTGCCTGGCCAATGAGTTCCTTTCAATTACTAATAGTATTAATGCATCCTATTAAAAAAGAGCTGACATTACTGAATGGTATGTGAGGTTAACTCTACTACATTTGTTATCAAATAAGCTAAAACAGTCTAGGCTCAAGTGTATTAGGCTTACACAACAGTAGTGCAGCACATAATCACAATATAATGTAACATAAACAGTAATAAAACTATTTGGAGGTTGATAATACAGAAAGGGAGTTATTTTCTATGTTTGTGTATGGGGAAGGATCACTCTTTTGAGATAACTTAAGTATATTTAAAAAAATTCCAAAGACTGAATAGGAATTTCTTATACTACTTGGACTCTGAAGGCAAACTGAAATGTAGTAATTATTTAGTAATTGTCTTTCCAGAAGTCCAGCTGACACAAAATACTATTATACTATATATCTAAAACAAATTTACCATTTTAGATTGTCTAGTTCTTTGCAGTCTTTTTGCTGTAAGGATCCTCCTCCCCTTTTCTAGTACTGGGGATTAAACTCAGGGAACTCTGAACTACATGCCCAGACCTGTTTGAGGAAGGGTCTTGCCAAGTTGCTCAGGACAGTTTCAAACTTGTAGAGTCCTCTTGCCTCAGCCTCACAAACAGCTGGGATAACAGGCATGTTACTACACCCAGCTTCTCTCCCAGATTTTGATGAGCTTCCAAAGAGGCATAGTGTATCCCAAGTGAGGTAAAATTGGTATTTGGTGCTTTAATATGTTAAAATAACCAACTATTATCTATAAATTACATATACCTATTCTGGACTCTTGAAGAAAGGTAGTTTTCTTAGGTGAGGATTATGCTATGGGTTCTAGATTCATGCATTTTGCATGTATATTCATGGACCACAAATATATAGGGAAGAACATGGTCACATACATATTTCAACTTTTAATGTATTGAAACATTCTTCTAAGTGCATGCCTTCTTGGCAGTGGGAAACTAGTACTAGCACAGAATATTGAAAACAATTTGTGCTTATTTTAATATTTCTATACAATAGGGGCCGGGGATTTAGCTCAGTGGTTTCGCAGCCTGCTGTGCAAGCACAAGGACCCGAGTTTGATCCTGGTACCAAAATAAATAAATAAATAAATATTTCTATACAATAGACTTTAAGACAGTCTGAAAAAAAAAAGGCTATAAAAATTTCAGTCTGTTATTAGTCTCTTAATACTTTTCCCCCTGCTTAAAATGAATTTTGGGAAGCCAATTTTAATATCTTCCTGATTTCTATTGCAATGGAAGCAGTGATTACAGTGTGCAAAGACCTGGGCTATTATGGTTATGAGAATCAAACAAGACTCAATAGCACTTTGGAAAGTAGAAGCACTACCTAAAAGGTACCAGTATCATGTTGAGCACTTTAGCTTAATATTTATGTAGCCATTTCCCTTTTCTCTTAAGACAGAAGTTATAAAAATTCCCAAGATCATGAACTCTGCAATCAAACCTCATGAATTTGAATCTTGACTACCCTTACTCTGTAGTATATGACACTGGCATGATTCAATTTTGGGTGGTTGTATAGATTAAACGAGTTAATGCCAAAGTTTCCAGTGAAGGAATATGCTAGCAGTTATTATTTCTACCATTAGTAGTAGTATTTAAAGCTTGAATGATTTTCAAGCACACTTTAGAAAAACCAACCACCTTACTAAATAGGTATTAAAATATTTTCATATGATCTGAATCATTTTTTATTAAAGAAATGCTCAAAAAATTTATTGGCCTATTTCCCTACAGGGCAAATAAACAGCAACAAATATACCAGGGTTGATGTTCATTAATGCATTTACAGTTCTATCAAGAGTCTCATGTATCATTTGGAAATCATTAGGATAGTCTTAAAAAGTACTTTTAACTAGGGGCTGGGGATTTAGCTCAGTGGTGCTGCTGCCTACCTCGCAAGGGCAAGGTCTTGAGTTCGATCCCCGGTACAAAAAAAAAAGAGAGAGGAAAAAGTACTTTAATTATAGAAATTAAGGAGCCAGCATTAAAAGACGTCATAAAAACTACCTTCTCAACTGAGACCTACTATTGCTTAATCAAGTCTCAGTGATGAAACATGTGCAATACTAGAAACTAGACCCAATACCAGTTTCAAATCAATGGTTCTAGAACACTTCATTTACTATAACTGGGCACCTAATATGCGCTAAATCAGGTAAGGAAAGGTCTAAGCGAAGCTAACTTTCCCTATTATTTCACCGGAGAGAGAATTCCAAGAATGGCTCCAGTGTTAATGTCCATCATCTTATAATATAAACATCAATGAATGCCCCATTAATATACCTCAATTCTCTCCAAATTGAAAATGTAGGATTAAACATTTTTGTGGAATTGATTACTTTCTATTAATGCAAATTCCTCAACTTTATTCTCGTTTGAGATCTAGTTCTGTAATGTTCTACATTTCCTTTAAATTTCTAAAAGCTTTTGGAATTATTTAAAAACTAAATGTCCCTATCCATAGTATCTATTTCATAACTTTAGGCTAATGACATATGCTTCTGGTAACACTGATATTGAATGTCTCAGAATTCCTTAAATACTCTACATTCTGATAAAGCTATGCTCATTTCCAAGAAAAACTGGAATATTTAGTCAAAAATTGTCCTTAGGGACTGGTAGGTGAAGTTCAGTGGGAGACTGCTTTGTAACACACTATAGCCCCTCGGCTCAATCCCTAGCACAGCTCACCCGCCCCCCCGCAAAACTGTTTTTACTAAATCAAATGCTTCATATTAAGGTAAAGATTTATGCAAGCCGATTTTTTTCTTCAAAAGATGCCTTTTATATCTAACAGTAGTCTCCCCTATTTCATCAATTTTAAGCACAGTCTACAGCTGGTAGAAAGCCCTTTAGTTTCTCTGAAACTTAATCCATATTGAAGGAATTTAGTTTAATACAGGAAATATTTAAAATCATTGCAAAATCTTCCTAAGAATTATACTAATATAGAATTTTCCAGTTATCAATTTAAAAAGTTATCAATTTTTAAAGCTCTAGGTTCCTTAAATTTTTTTTTTTGACAGCATCTTGCTATGTAGTTCAGGCTGGCCTTGAACTACATAGCCCGTTGCCTGTGAGGTCCTAGTGAGTCTTATTTCAGCCACCAGAGTGCTTGGACCACAGGTGTGGATCACCACACCTGGCAAGGTTTCTTGAAATTTTGAATGCATCTAACATTAGAATCACTAATTTAAAAATGGTACAACAATGTGACTATAATGAACCCTGAAGTTTACTTCTGGGTCTTTTTCCTAAACAATGTAATGCCCACTAAAATACAGAAAAAAAGCAAAACAAAGGGTTTAACCTATATAGGCTTATTGTGGTGACAGTCTACCATCTCAAATAGTCAGATTTTAGAATTCTGAGTAAATTTTATTAATCCAGTTGCTTTTCAAGTTCTCAAGCTTTTGTTAAATTATAAAATGTTAGGACGTGACAAAAATAGATTGAAATACAGAATTTGCTTACATTCTACTGGATACTCTGGGAAAACATACACTGTAATAAGCCAAAAATTTACTGAGTCATGTTTACATTTTATAACTATAATTGTGTTTACAATGAAATGTTACTAATGGAAAAAATGTTTTGAGGATCAAATGTGAATTCCATAATTTTAGAACATTTTCCCTTTTTGATAAATTTAATCTGAGGTACAAAAGAAGAAACAAACTCCTAATTTAATGAACTGGTCGTTAGATTTGAGGAAATCATGAGCAGTTTACTATTTCAGTAGTTACTGTTCTTATTCTTCTGTTTAAATTCCTTCAATAACCTCTTCCTTCAAGATGCTTTCACACCATGGGAAGGTACCTGTGGGGATATGTAGGTATGACAAAGGAAAAAGCCACAGGATAAATAAGATGTATCTTTCTTTACCTTTCAAATTTATTAAAGTATTGAGAAAAATTAATTTAAACTGTTTTTAATAACACTAATTACATTAGATATAAAAAGGTTTTAGATAAAAATTTAAAAATCCAAGCCAGAAGTGTATCTTCACATCTCTTTTCTAATAGATAGATGTTCTTTCTTATCAGTCGTACAGTAAATTAACTATATTAAGAAAAAGGGCTGGGGATGTAGAAAACTTGCCTACTACTTTTGAGGTCCAGGGTTCAATCTCAAGCACTGCAAAAATCACTAATTTAGACATCCAATTAGAAGAGTATAAGGCTAAGAACCATAGCTGTGTTTGGTTAAGACTGTTATTTTTTAAACAGATTTTTTACTTTTATGCTACGAAATCTTAGAACTTTTTAAGAATTTTAATGCAAAAAGTACAGAAAGCGAAACCTCTCAACCAAGAACTCAAGAAGTAATTAAGATCCCTTTCATCCCAGTAAGATTTATCTCTTATCCAAGTAAACTTATTCTAGTGAATATGTGTATTGATAACCTTTATTCACTTCAATTTTTGGTGATGCTTAGGCATTCTACCACTGAGCTACATCTTCAATCTAATGATAGGCAAGTTTTAACTTATTAAATATTCACTTACATATTTTAAGCACTTCTACAATATTCTTCTGAGCATGTTAATCAGCCTATTACTGGACACTTAAAATTTTTCCAATTTTTTATAAACCTTACAATAAATACATGGATTCCTGCTTACAAGGGTATTTATTAAGCTGAAAATCATAAAATATACTATAGCTGGTTCATACATAACTATACAAAAAAACCCCAACTAGATCACTTGTCAAAATATTCGAACTTTGGAATCTGATAATTTTTTGTATGGTGTTTTGTATGAAGTTCTGGATGTCTTAGTCCACTTGCTTTTTTTCATTGTTTCTTTTAAAATTTTTATCCATATTACTAATACATCTGAAAGGTATGTGTAAATGAAAGAGGCTTAATTAATAAAACAAGTGTTATATCCCTTAGGTGAGCTGAGGTAGACAAAAACATTAAGAACAAGATATGCCAGGTATGGTAAAGCATTGGTCTAATTCCAGCTACTCAGGAAGCCAAAAAATTGGAAGCTTGAAGCCAGCCTGAGCAACTTAGTGAGATCCCATTTAAAAATTTAAAAAGAAGGCTGGGGTTGTAGCTAAGTATACCCATTGGTTAAACCTTTAGTACTGGGTGTGTTGCCATATGAAAGATTTTGCCTTATTTCAAAGAGTATACCAAAATTAACTAAGGGAGAACTAAAGTGGTGAAATGGGATAAAGGCACAGAGAAGGAAAAATGGACTATATCTAGTCCATTTGAAGAAAACTCAACAATTTAGAAAAGGCTAAAGCAACACCATGAAGTATCAAGCTAAGGAGTGTGAGTTTTATCATGTAGGAAAAAAGTGTTTTTTTGGGGTTTTTTTGGTACCGGGAATCAAACTTGGGTCCTTGTGCTTGCACAGCAGGCGGCAAAACCACTGAGCTAAATCCCTGGCCCGGAAAAAAGTGTTTTAAAAGATTAAATTAGTGGTATATATATATTATAGATGAAAATGTTAAGACTTAAACAGAGACAAAGAATTGCTTTTGAACTATGTAATGAGACCCTGCCTCAAAAAATAAAACAAAACACGAAACAGAAGACTGGTAGATGACAGACATGAACAAATTTGAGTGCCTCTTGGAACTGTTAACTTGGACTCAGCTAAGCTGATCAAGTGAAAAACAATTTCAGAGTCACTAGTAAATTCATAAAAGCCTGACCATTACACACATATCTATTAACTACCATTATCATTACATACAAACCTATTAACCACCCATTCAAACATTTTCTTTGGACTCTAAACGGTCTCAGATGGATGTTTTAATCTTGAATCATATTCATAAAAATACTGTCTTATCTGCAAAGGTCAAGTAGGCTGAGGCACATACAATTGTTAAGGCTGTTCCTAAGAAGTACAGGGAGCTGGGTATGGTGGTGCATACCTGAAATCACATCACTCAGGGAGGCTAAGGCAGGAGGATCACAAGTATGAGTCTAGTCCAGGCAACTTACCAACTTAAGACTCTGTCTCAAAAAGGGGGTTGGGGCTACCTGGGGATGTTGCTAATTGTAAAGGCCCTGGATTCAATCCTCAGCCAGTGCCTTGTGTCACAGAAACACCACATACACACATGAACTCAGCAAGTAACGTTATTTTATACAGTTATTTTAACATAAAAGGTCTAAACATTTGTCAAATTTTTTTCACTGCACACAGCCTTAAAAAAAAAAAAAGAGCTGGGGGAGTAGCTCGGTGGTATAGTGCTTGGTTAGCATGTTCAAGGCCCAGGGTTTGACACCTAGAATTGCAGAAAAGGGATGAAAAAAAACAGAAATAATTGGTCTGTATTTTATAAACAGGATAAGAACATAAGCTCTTAAGTTTCTGGTGCATTAGTCAGTTCTGCCTTGAAGGATTTCATGCTATTAGTAATAAAACACAAGCCCTAAGAAATCTATTGATAACAGTAAAAAATAAAACTTTTTAGTACATGGGAACGTACTGATGATTGTCTCTTCTTTCCCCAAATATGTAAGCGATACATTTAAATGCTTATTACAGCCAAATCTATTTAAAAAATTTAGAACATTAATTTTTCTCCTTTTTGATAATATTCAATGAGAACACTTAGAATAAAACTTTTTCCATGAAGGGAAAGTAATATCCACCTGCAAAATGAAAAGAAAATACAATTTGATTTAGAATGTCAATTTCTAAATAAATATAAACATAAATTTAAGAGATTATAATTTACAAACGTATAACCTTGCTAAACCAAGTATCACTAAACTGTATTAGTAATCACACTTAGTGGCTTAAAAACACCTAGGGGCTGGGGATTTAGCTCAGTGGTTTTGCCGCCTGCTGTGCAAGCGCAAAGACCTGAGTTCAATCCCCAGTACCAAAAAAGAACAAAAACAAAAAAAACCCTATACTTCTATAACAATCAAAGTATATATAATTGAAGATCTTTAATGTTAAATATAGAATTCAGTCTAATGTTTTGAAATCTATCACACATGAATCTGTCTGATCTTGATAAATTTGTATATAAGGATGCAAAATGAATTACTCCAAGTAACGGACTGAAGATAGTCAATATTAGAATAATCTGGCATCAATTTAAAAAAATAACCCGAAGTGAAAAGGATTAGGATTTTTCCCCAAAGATGGGAAAATGACTTAACACAGTCATATATATTTCTTCTTTGCAAAGAAAATAGCCCATTAAGATTAACATTAAAAGAATGTGAATACTATCAGAATAAAGATTTTTTTCTGAGCCGGGGACTGAACCCCACATCTCTTGCATGCTAAGTACATGCTCTACCACTGAGCTACATCCCCAACTCAATTATAGTAAGCTTTAATGTAGTATTTTTTCTACATTTGTTCTTCAAATATTTAAAGTTTTCTTCAGTTCACTGTCAGGATTAAAAAATATGGAAGCAGGGGCTGGAGATTTAGTGAGGGCCTGCCTCACAAGTGCAAAGTCCTGAGTTTGATTCCTGGTACCCCCCTGCCAAAAGTTGTGAAAAAACATGGAAGTTTTCATGTAGCTAAAATAATACCATATAGTCCTTCACATGTGGAATATGTAAATATAGATTCTCTTGGTAAATGTAAAATGAAGGTTTTTTCTCGTTAGAAGGCATTAAATTTTCTAAAATCTGATTTTAGATAGATTTAGAACACATAGAAACAACTTCTGTGTTATTCTGGAAGATACTGGATAGTATATTGGACAAACTTCGTAATTCATTCAATAAATATTTCTAAGCTTCTACTTTAGGGCCCGGAATACTTTTAGAGGACCAAAAATTGTACTATTTGTTAAGAGTCTTATATAATGGTTGAAATGAAATAAAATAGGTTAAGAGTTCAATGAATGACTGCTAAAAGCACTAAGGTAGTATTATTTCCATTTAAATGCTGGCATTTAATTCTATTTTTCTTTTATTTATTCCACTTGTATCCCTCAGTTTTTTTTTTCTTATTAAGTTTATTGGTACAGGGGTGGGGATTTAGCTCGTGGTTCCGCTGTCTGCCCCACAAGCGCAAGGACCCGAGTTTGATCCCCGGTACCAAAAAACAAAACAAGTTTATTGGTACATTTTAGGTATACGTTATGATCACATTCATCATCAGGAATTTGTACCTGTACATGATATATCTTGGTTCTTCTTTTTTCCCCATTCCCCTTCCCTCCCTTTTACCCCTATTTACAAAAAACTTGTTTCCATTTTTTTCATTCTTTTCTCATATTTTTTTCTTTCCCTTCTTTCCTTTCCCCATCCATCTCCCTACTTTCCCTTCTTCTTTGGACCCTTTCTTTGTATTTCACATTATCTATTATACATTTTGGTTCTCATTTACTTTCAGTTTCTCATACCAGAGAAACTATTTGGTATTTACACATGTTTGTGCCCTATTTATTTCACTTCAGAGTATGGCCTCAGGGTGCATCCATTTAGCTATAAATGTTTCTAGTTTATCATTCTTTATGGCTGAGTAGTGCTCCATTCACATCTTCTTTATCTAGTCACCAGCTGATGGGCATTTGGGCTGTTTCCAAGACTTAGCTATTACAAACTGTGGCTGGCATTTAATTCTAGTTACCATACAGAAGGTATAGCACTTCCTTATTTGGGGAAAAAATTTTTTTTCCTGGAAGGTGATATTATTCTTAAATGAAAGTTTTGTTGTGTGCCTTAAATAGAACCTGAAATAGTTTTAGGATTTCAAAAATACAACTGTTATTGGAAATAATTTATTAAGATCTGTTTTTATTTTGTTCATTTTTTCTTCAGTTACAATTGAAAAGGGTAAGATGCTGCTTGTGGAAAATAACTTGTAGAAAATAACTAGATCTATGGCATATTACACAGAGTTGTTAGACTTATCCTGAATTTTTATTTAATGACTTAAAATACTACAAATGAGAGGAATTAAAGAGAGCATTTTTTTGAATTTTACTTAAAATATTTTTACTGTTACTTGTATCTATAAAATTAATATTAAATCACAACTTGGTATTACTCTGAAGTTAAGTATCAGATAAAAAAGTACAGCAGACCTTCATATTTTTTGACTTGTCAAACAAAACACTTCAACTAAGGACTTAGGAAATCATTTTAATAAAAACAAGTGAAAATAATAGACTATTATAATGTTAGATGACACAGGATTAGGATCTTATTCTGTCATATGTTTCCAATTAATTTGAGTTTGTTTCCTCAGTCACTCAATCAATAGATCAATCATCTATGACTTTTCCTGCTTTTAAGGTTATGATTAAGTGGATTTAAAAAAATTTTTTATGATTAAGTACATTTTGAGATGAAGATTTTTCAGGAATTCAACTCTCATGTTTTTATGTTTCCCCTTCATCACTTATAATGAAATATTTAGAAGTATTACTAGAAATTATCTTCTAAATTCTGTTCAAAATGTATATGCTTTATACTTTGTAAGATAAGCAAATACCTAAAGTAATTTCAAATCACAGAAAATTACTGTTTTATCTTAAAAATCTAAAACAAAACCCCAAACTAAATATTTGTATTGCATATACAAAATAAATTCTTCTTATACTTTCCAAGCTCTTTTAAGAAACCTTTTTTTTCCCCTTAAAAGTGCTATGGATTAAATCCAGAGCCTTCCACACGCTAGCTCTACCACTGAGGAACACTCCTAGCTTTCTAGACGCTCCTGAGACATTCAACACAATTTTTAAATTGCAATTACAGTGGCCTCTCTGTTATATGTGGGTTCTGTATCTGTGGACTCAACCACAGATCAAAATATTTGAGGAAAAAAACCTGAATATGCACTGATTTTTTTTGTCATAATTCCCCAAACTATGTAACTATTTACATAATACATATTTATATAAAATTTACTTTGTATTAGTTACTGTAAGTAATCCAGAGATGATTTAGGGTACATAGGAGGATGGTCATAGGTTAAAAGCAAATATAGCGGCAGTTCATATAAGGAAATCTAGCATCAGTAGATTTTGGTATCCATACGGGTGCTGAGACCAATCCCTTATGTGTATCAAGAAACAACTATATACTATTTTAGTAGACACAATAATATAGAAAGTTATAACTAACATTTTTACAGAATGATACTAAACACAATATTGTCAATGATATTGAAAATATATTAAAACTAAAAAAGTAGTAGCATTAATATGCATTAAAATATAATTGTAGAGTATTGCCAACCTTACTTCAGCAGCACAGTTAATACTGGAGATAATTTTAGAATCTTAACTCCAATATTTACGTGCTGCTAAGGCACTGCTGACATTGCTATCATAAGAGCTATGAACAAAAGAAATATATTTTCTTCAGAAGATCAGATCCTTGTATTTTTGAGGCAGCACAATATGGCCTGCACCTTTTCAAAATCCACAAACCATTATGTGCTGCTACTTTACTCCAAGGTTTTGGTTTGTTTTTTTTTTTTTAAAATACATTAGTACCTAAAGAATAAAAAATTTCTCTTTAGAAAAAAAAACTATATATTTTAAAACCCCATGTTTAAAGATTTTAACAGTGATATATGGCCATAATTATTTTTAGAAGCTTTTAAGTAGAATTTATTTCTGGATCAAAAACTTAAGAAAGCCTACTATGTGTTCAATATAGTGCTCTAAATTAGGAAACAGATGATTAACAGGAAAAGAAAAGTACATTTTCCTTGTGCCAACTTAAGGCAATACAAGTAAACATTTAAATTTATGAATGTATTATTTTTCCCTTTTATAAGCAAAAGAGAATTCATAAAAACTGTTTTTACCTTATTAAGAGCAGAATTTACAAAGAGCATTTTGTTCCTTGTATACATCTCAAAAGACATCTTCATCAAGACAGGTAAGACTTTATATCAAGGGAAAAACATGAAATGAAATACAAGAGTACAGTTTCAATAAACTTAGGCTAGCAAAATGCAAATGTATTTTTAAAGAAATAGACCAGAAGCCACATGAAATATATTAATACAAAATGTAGTAAAAATATACAAAAGCTTTAAACAAATCAATTTTCCCTTAGATGTTATAAAAATCTACATATTAACTCTAAACATTTATCTCCATTAGAATGGTTATTCTGAGTTACATATCTAGATTATGAAGCCTTGGAATGATACGTTAATATTGTGAAAGGAAATACGAAAGAGAGAAAGTCTATGCCTCTCATTCTTCCTATGTCTTGTCTATCCCATTCAATCTATTCAGCAGGAAAGGGAGTACACTCCTTGTTTCCACTTAGATGTAGAAATGACCTCTCTCCAAAAGAAACCAGAAAACCATCACTACTCTAGCTCAAAGCTCAACAACCATTTTTGTCTCAGCTTTCTTATTAAAATGGCTTTTAAAAATCTTCACTATTTCTATTATAGTATAAAAAGATGATATGTATAACCAAAGCAACAAAATTTGTCCTTCTAGTATATCTAATTATTTATACAAGGCACAGACATAGAATTCCACATTAATGTATTGTACTTTCCTCTTTATTAAAAAGTACATATAGGGCTGGGGATTTAGCTCAGTGGTTCTGGTGCCTGCCTTGCAAGTGTAAGGTCCCGAGTTCGATTTCCGGTACAAAAAAAAAAGTACATATAGCTATTCCTGTATCTGAGCAACCAGTGCTTCACATATTTCTCTACTACTGTCAAGTTTCAGTATGTATATATGTATTTATGGCACAAAGGCTTCAAAAGAAGGGATTCAACTGCTGAACTATATTCCCAGCCCTCTTTATTTTGAGACAAAGTTTTACTAAGTTGACCAAGATGGCCTCAAGCTTGGGATCCTCCTGCCTCAGCTTCCCAATTATCTGGGATTACTAGTGTGTGCCACTACCCCCAGATAGCAGTTTGTAACATGTAGCCAAGATAGATCTATTGCAATGACTTGAGAAATAACATTTATTTGTTTCTTTCAATTACATTAAAGAATTTTAAGCTTCTTCAAAAATATTAATAAAACATTGTAATACTATAATTTTGTTTTAACAACCTCAGAGAAAGATTTTCTCCTATTTAAATTTAACTTCAATTTTTAACTGAGATAGTTAAAATAACTTTTATTTGAAAACCATAAACTATTAGAAAAAATTCGTTCCTACTCTTGAAAAATGTGGAAATTTTTTATTTAAAGGTATTAACAAAGTGAAAGGTTCAGTGGAGGAATTTCAGGCAGACTGGAAGGTACATTTCTTTCTAGTGTGCAACAGCAATAGTAATCTCTTCCCAGTGTGGTAAGGTTTAATTTTTTTTTCCTTTCTATTTATCTTCTAGCATTATAGTTATCAAAGGTAGTTTCATTCTATGCCTCAATAAGGGACTATTTTAATAAGTTTCTTTTGGATCTACAAGTTTAAACTAAACTGTCTCCACTGTCACTTAACAAGGATATTCAGGTGCTAATACATGGCATGAAGATTTTCCTGCTAGTTTGACATATGGTTGTATGTCACTATATTAATTTGAATACTTAATTTTACTCAATTTAGCATCAACTCAATAATAGTGATTACTACTCAACATGCTTCACATTTTGCCTGTGAAGCTTTATACTGTGTTCCTCTATACTCACTATGTATAGCCACTGAAACACAGAATGATTATCTTTGCTTAAGAGTGGATTGCCAGGCACAGTGGTGTATGCCTGTAATCCCAGATAATTTAGAGGAGAATCCCAAGCTTTGAGCCTAGCCAGAGTAATTTAGCAAGAACTTGTCACAAAATAAAAGGGCTAGGCATGTATCTTAGTGGTAGAATGTCCATGAGTTCAATTCCCCAGTACAGCAAAATGAAAAAAAAAAAAAAAGACACATGTATGGTGGGGGCAGGGGATATATATGGAATAATGTTCAAGTGATATGTCAGTAATATATCCGAAAGAAAAATTTAAAAGCTCTTATATGTATCTTTAAGGAAGGATCTAAGGAGGCATAGCTAAAACAATTTCACTAATATGGTAATTTTTTCATTATTCTATTATAAATGTCCAAATAAACTTTACAGGATCATATTAAAATTTTCTTTTGCTTCTTAGATATAAATGCTTAAAAATAAAAAGGCTATGTAGCTGGGCACAGCAGTACCACACCTGTACTCCCAGCACTTGGGGTGGCTGAGGTAGGAACATTCCAAGTTCTAGTGTAACCTGGGAAATTTAGTGAGGCCCTGTCTCAAAATAAAAAATGATAAAAAAAAGATAACCAACCGTCCAAACAAACAAAAAACAGAACAGAGCCTGGATTAAATAGAGAAAGTTCTTTTAAAATTCAGTGTTGAGAATACAGGCATGCAGTAAAATAATGTTCAGACATAATCCAAAAAATAACGTAGATTTTGAGTTTTACTAAATACAAGGTTTTACATTGTATTTCTACACCCCCTTTGATTTCTTCTGGAGAAATGAACAATGAATGATGGTTTAAAAACTAATTATGAAGTGGATTTCAATCAAGGGTTTATTCCAGAAAGTTTACAGACATAAGCTCCAAATAAAGTTATCACTTTGATTTCTTAAGTTTCCTTATATACAAAGTTAAAACTACTTAGAAGACAAACATATATTTAAAAACATTTTTTTTTTTTTGTACAGGGGATTGAACTTGGGACCTTGTGCTTGCGAGGCAGGCGGCGGAACCACTGACCTAAATCCCCGGCTTAAAAACAGTTTTGATGACTTTTTACTTCTCAGACATGACTAAATTATGAACATACTGTTCAGTCAAGAAGTGCCATTTGATAAGAACATAATATGCTATTTACCATCACATTTTTATCACAGGTACTTTCTTTTGTTCCCTTTTGTGTCCTAACTAGGAAAACTTGCCCACTGTCATCCTCTCTTCACATTCAGTTTTTGTCCTGTGCTAATCATTTCTTGTATTCAATTAGCCAGCAAAACCAATTGATCTGTTTTGAGATTTCAGTTCAACTACTGGTTTGACACTGTTAATTTTATACTTTTAAATTAGGCCTAAGTACCTTATAAGCTACAATGCATTTTCAGCTGGCCTCTATGTTTAGTCATAGAAACTTCCTAAAATTCACATTTTCACATTCTGTACCTGATTTTCTAAGTACAGCCTATATATATATATATTTTTTTTTTGCCAAAGTATCAAGGACTATATAATCAGAATCTATCCAATTTCATCTCTCTCCAATGGAAACACTATCACTCCATTTAAAAGTTCTCTTTTAAGAATCATGAAAACCGAATGCAATATGTATGGCACATGGCTGTAATTCCAGCTATTCAGGAAGATCCCAAGTTTGCGACCAGCCTGGGAAACTTAGTGAGATTGTGTAGAAAAGAAAAATAAATCCAAATGGAAGGTTCATTTTTCTGAAACAATCAGGAGTTCAAAAGAAACTGGTATGACTACAGCAAGGGATTATTATGTTAGTGCGTTGTAAGTATGGTGATTATATATTAAGAAAGAGCTCTTAGCATAATAAAATAGTTGTAAATGGATAGCAAGACTGACCAAGCATGATACTCCTCTGGTCACCAGGTAAGTAGCAAGTAGAACAAATAAATTATAATCATTTTCAATGCAGTGATTATCCTCTCTGAGTGCATGACTCTTCAAGGCACCCTGAAGAATGGAGATGCTTACAACGAATTATTTTCTAGTTCTTTTCTCCCCTAATCTGTATCGATGCCTACTCAAACTTTGATTTTTCAATAAGGCTACTTTTGGAGGTTAAAATACCTATTAATCCCCTTTGTATTTATCTCTACTTTAAAGAACAATTTATTTTTTTACTATTTCTTTTTTTTTGGTACCAGGGATCGAACTCGGGACCTTGCACTTGTAGGCAGGTAGTGGAACCACTGAGCTAAATCCCCAGCCCAGGAACAATTTAAATCTATTATCTCTGATGGATTTACATTTCAAATTTTCTAGCTAATACTTAATTTGCACTCACTACAAACTTTTGAACATAGACAACTGTTCTTAATATTGAGTACTATGCTGAGTGAACAGTTGATTTAACTTTCATACTTATCTTTTCATTCAAACCGGACTAGCTATGTGGCAATCTTTTCCTGGTATATCCTGTGCCATTTCTTCATTCTTGTATCCTGCTCCATTGGAAATATCAAAGTGCCACTATGCCTTCAATCTCTTCTTTCAAGTCTGATTGCTGAAAGAAAAAAAAAAATACAGAAAGAGTCCTAATGACTGATGTAGAGTAAAAGGAAAGAGCTACTAAAACACAAAATCAGAAAACAAAGCCATTTCATTTCTTGCCCTTTTAACTTCATACAACAGTTACAGCTTCAAGTCTAGTGGTTTACATTCTGGGCTGTGGGCCCTTAATTATGTCTACTGGTTTTTGATATACCTCAACTTTCTATTCTTATGCTCTTCCAAGAAAAAATAGTCTTTGAAAGGTGAGACCAAAAACAGTAACTTGCATATAAATCTGAAGAGATGGCAGACTTTAAATACCTTTAGTTGATTTTCTTTCTAAGACAGAAAAAACTTTAAAGAAATTTAAAATATAACAAAACATAAGCTGTACGTAATTCTCTTCCTTTGTAAATTATTTAAAACTATGGTTTTGTTTCTACTAACATTTTTTGTTTAGGCATATTTACTTTTATTTTACAAGTGCTCTAATATCAGTTCATTTAGTTTACATAAAGCATTACTGCATTTAACAAAAACATTTAGAAACTCTAGGCATGTTGCCTAAATTATAAAACCATCCTGACTGCATGAGAATTACTGGTGAATTTCTGCATTTCTAGTTTATTATCAATATAATAAGCAACAGACATAGTTTATTGAGGCAGCAATAACACAAAATAGTTAAGCTGAAGCCAAAAGACTTAAGACAAATCTTGCTCTGTTCCTTAGGAATCCCCATTCTGGCTAAGTTATTTTAGTACTTAGACCTGGTTCCTCTTCTATAATATGGGACAATTAATACCTTCTTCATAGCTCTGTTGTTTAGATTATAAAATCTTTTCTTTTTCTCAAAGTTTTTTTTTTAGATTATAAACTCTTAAACTTGTATGAGCATATCTAGTGGTGAATAGATGTCCATTAAATGCCTGCTAAATCTAAATTTACAGTAGGATTTGACTTTCTGACAAACTTAAGTGTTTAGCAGACTGTAGTAGATCAACACGAAGCAAGAGTTGATGACAAAGAGAAAGACAGTGCAGTCAGGCTGCATTAAGTAAGTACATTATTCATAAGAAATGCAGTATACTTTGTACGTTGGTTACATGGAGTATATTGGGTTTAGTTCTATAAACAATATTTTAAAATTAATAGTATAAAATGTAGCTGACTTAGAGTGGGATATCCATGATGCTTATGATCTAGAATTGATTCTATCAGAACCAATGGAAGGATGTAGGTATGTTTTGCCTAGAGAAAAGACATAAAAACTAGAAGACAGATCTAGAGGCAAAGAATAAAGTTGTATACTAAGCTGAAACCTGCTCTCTTATGAGAATTTTATTTTCTACCATAAATACAATTTGTAACAGTATGGAAAAAGTTTACCACAGTTCTTAATATGGCTAAAAATAAAGATCAATTTGAACTGACTTTTAAAATTGTGTTAACAGGCTTTCCATTACTATGACAAAATACCTGACATAACCCCTGGTCACATGGCTCTGTTGCAGCATATCATATCATGGTGAGAACATGTGGCAGAAGAAGTCTTTCAACTCATGGCAGCCAGGAAGCAAAAAAAGGCGACAAAAAGTACCTGGAGTACTAATATCTCTTTTAAGGGTGTGTCCTCAATGATCTAACTTTCTTCCATTTGTCTCACCTCATAAAGTTTCCACCACCTCTCAATAGTACCACAGGCTGGCAACCAAGCCTTTAACACATGGACCTTTGCAAAAAATACTTCCAAGCCATAGAAACTTTATTAAGTTGTCTTGTTTAGGATTTGGAGGGCAAACTGCCAATTTTGTGCATAAATTCTGATTATAGGGCACCAAATATTACAGGGATAAAGAATCACTGATTGGCTAAACTAAGGACATGAAAAATTGCAAGACATTTTAAAATTCAAGTTGGCTGGGTATGGTGGGTCACACCTGGAATCCCAGCACTCAGGAGGCTGAGGCAGGAGGATGGCTACAAGTTTGAGGCCAGCCTGGGTTACATAGTGAGTTCAAGGCCAGCAAGAACCATATAGCAAGACTGTCTCAAAACAAAAATTCAGATATTCTTTCTCTAAATATTTTTGACTAAGGTAATGAAAATCTGACCTGTAGTAGGAAACTTGGAAGTGATGGTGTTCTTTGTAGAACACACTATTAAATATTTTAAAACTTTGTTTTGATGAGCTACAAATAATTTTACTATGAGAAAATGAAATTACATAAGTATTTTAAAGAAAAAATTGGGGGAAGGGTAGCAATGAGCTACATCCTTTAATTAAAAAAAAATTTTTTTTTGGTGCCAGGGATCAAACTCGAGACTTTGCGCTTGCAAGGCAGGTGCCAGAACCACTGAGTTAAATCCCAGCCCTAAGTTTTTAAAATTTTGACACAGGGTTTTGCCAAGTTGCCCACGCTGGGTCTGAACTTGTAATCCTCCTGCCTCAGCCTCCAACAGTGTTGGAATTACAGGAGTGCACAATCACATCCAGCTAAAAAATTTGTTCTTTTAAAAAATTAATTTTATTGGTAATTTTAGGTATACAATATAGACATTCATCATTGGAAATTTGTACCTTTACGTAATATATCTTGGTTCTTATTTTTTCCCTATTCCCCTGCCCACCCTTCCCTATTTACAAAGCCTTTGTTTCCATTTTTTCATTTTCTCATATTAAATCTATTCCCTTCTTTCCTTTTCCCTACCCCTCCCACTTCCCCTTGCCCTTTGTCCCTTTTCTTCCTCTGGTGTGAGAAACTGAAAGTGTAAATAAGGACCAAAAGGTATGACAAATAATGTGAAATAGTAAAAAAATTGTTTTAATAACAAAAATAAACATAAACTAATTGGTTTTAATGGAAGATTGAAACTGATAAGTCTTGGAGAAACAAGTGTGGAAACTAACAAACGAACATGTATTTCAATTCTGCATTCAATTTATTTCTCTTTTTCCATGGAGATAAACTTAAACTCTCAAGTTTCAGACTAACAGTAGCTAAAATTATACCAAATGATCTGGGAATGTTACCTACTATATTTATGCTTAGAGCTTCAAAGCCCTACTCATCAGAATTCATTATATTTGTATAAGTTTCTGTTTAAATCAAACATGTGGAATATAATTTTGCCTTGAATGAATTTTCCTAAGAAAACATCCAATATAACTTAATAAATAAGAAATTATTATTTTTCTTTGATTTCCTCTACAAGCTGAGAAGTTGTTCAGGGTAGGAAAACACAATTCCATAATTTTTGCACTACAATTAATTTTATTGCTGCAATATTTTGAGAATATAAGAAACCACCTATGAGAAACATGAAAGCTCAGCTTTAACTCAGTTATTCTGTTAAACATACAGTATACGGCAACTATAAAGGCTTTGAAGACAATGAATACCTGACATTTAACATTGTGTAATTCCTAAAAATAGCAGTTATTTGAACAATGATCAAAAAACAATTATAGTATTTTGTGAACTTTTCCTATATTCATAAATTATAGGCTGAGCATGGCAGCATGAACTTGCAATCCCAGCATTCTAGGAGGCTAAGGCAGGAAGATTTCAGGTTCCAGCACAGCCTGGGAAACTTAGCAACTTAGTGACACCCTGTCTTAAAATAAAAAATACAAAAGGGGCTGGGAGGTAGCTCAGTGCAAAGGTACTGGGTTCAATTTCTAGAACTACCTAAAAATAAATTTTTTAAATTACAGAACAATCTGTAACTTAAAGGGTTTCGAATTGATATATTTACTAAATAGTAATTCATCTTACCTCTTTACCACTAGTACCACAAAAAAATTATTTAAGGTAATTAAAATTTTCTCTTGAGTGGCACAGGAAGACAGTGATTTACAAAAGACTAAATTTCTATCACAAATAAATTAAAAACCAGATTTTCAGCTGCCTAGTGCACAATTTATATTTTTATCAAAAGTAAAACATCTTACTATCACTTGCTGTATATCTTCAATAACAGCCCCACTGATTAAAACATTCTTTTCCCAGTATTGAGTTCATACTATATTTATACTATTTATAATTCAACAACTGACAATATTTTTTTTCATTAAGTTTATTGGTACATTTTAGGTATACAATATAGTTACATTCATCATTGGGAATTTGTACCTTTACATGATTTATCTTGGTTCTTATTTTTTCCCCATTCCCCTGCAACTGACAATATTTTCTAGACTGGCATCCTTATGTGCCATTGCTATTTTATTGCTGACTCAATATTTCTAAAAATTTCTCGATAACTTGTCCTACATGGGAAATAGTTTGTCATTTCTCTTTATTCTCAAGATAGGCAAATTTGTAAGTCTGTTAAGTTAGGAGTAATTTGTCTCAACTAAAGTAATTTGCAGGATTACCAACATAGCACTGAATGGTGACTTTTCTGCTTTATCTCCTGTCTGCCTATTTATAAAGTCAGTGTCTTAAAATCTTTGTTATTTGAGATTTAAAAGATAATATAATGTTCTTAACTGCTCACAATTCCCTAAAGATGTTTAAAGATCTAAACAACAGTTAAACTCACATAACAGAAATACGTAATTTAGGTATATGTATTTAAAAATGCAATGTGAAAATTAAATGGTTCAAAAAGGTGGCAACCAGGCAGAGGCAAACATCTGTAATCCCAACTACTTGGGAGGCTGAGGTCAGCCTGGGCAGTTTAGGGAGATCCTATCTCAAAACAGAAAAGGACTGGGGGTATAGCTCGGTGTGAAGGTCCTGTGGTCAACCTCTAGTACAGCAAAGGGGAGGAAGAGGAGGAAGGAAAGCTATGACTATTTCTCAGTCTTTGTTGGCAACAAAAGTGTCAGATGTTTACACTGAAATGCAATCTTGAAGAATTTTTACTCAATATGGAACAAAGAACCCAAAGCACTGCCATTATTTAATTTTGACAGTACTGAATATATGAACATTTCTGGAAAACATACACCCCATAACTTAATAGTTTCTTAAAAATCCCCATCAGAACCACTATGGCATTAAATAAACACTAAAAGTGAGAAAGGACACACCAAAAATCAAACAGCATCACCAAGTACTGTCACTATGTACCTATTTTTCTGGATATTGTTTAATTGGAAATAAATACCATCTAAGATTTACAATAAGAAAAGTCCACACAAAGTACCTATGTAGAACACACAATAGAAAGCATTCCAACTATAAGATATGGCAAGTGACCTAATATTTGAAAGACACTGGAAAACAGCCAAGAAAGATGATTTGCTTAGAAATTTGTAAAGGAGATGAAATGAGGTAAAGTGTATGGTGTTATCTGTGCTTCTAAATCAGGAGGTAAACGATAGCTATTTCTTTTTGAAAAGTGGATCACCCTCCAATTTACAGTAGAAATATAATACCAATATAAAAGATTTCTTTTCCTAGGAGTTAAGTTGAAGAAAAGCTAAGCTGGCTTCTAAGGGACCAATTAAACAACTCAACTCTGGATTATATAGGATTCTTTAGGGATTTGCAAATGTTTCCACTCTAACTTTCCAGAGACAAAAATATAAAGGAAAAAAATTAGAAAAATATCTGACCTGTGGCATTTGGCTTGTACTTTTTCAGCACTTAATTGATCCCTCACTCCCTCCAAACCTCTTAATTTATTGAGTTCAATGGATGATCTTCTATGCTCACAATGTCAACCCTCTAACATACATATGATCTGAAATACTAATGCAAACATACGTTAATGTAAGGAAAGTATATGAAGCACTAGTTTTCATTTAAACAGGCTCATGCTCGAACACATTTAGGAACAGAAACAACTATACCTGAGTTGGAGTTTTCTTTAGAGATGGAGAATTCACTCAAGGAATAGAAGGAAATTAAACTTTTTGGTAACTTATTTTAGGGTTTCAAATACTTTTAGGGAAATAAGTAATACTGTACATTTAACATGTCCCTAATCTGTGAATTCTTCCATAGATACAATTAATTTCAACCTATTAGAATTATTCCATCAGAATTTACAAGCTTCTCTAAAGTTAAATGAATTATAGGAAAATTTTTCTTATTCTAAGAAAGAAGTGCACATGTGTACAGTATACCCTGTGAAGTTGTGGTTCAGATTTTGCGGGCTGAGTCCTTCGTGGATTTTCCCTTAGAACCTAACTAATAATTGTTCATGGAAACCCCAGCAATTTTGCAGAAACCACAAATATCCTCCACAATTGTTTTTTTGGCAGGAGATTTCCAAGTAGCCAATCTGAGACCATTATTCAGTTCTCCTTGTTGCTGACTGGCTGCTGCCCTGTTCCCCATCTCTGGCAGATGCACCAACATTCCTGCATGGTAACAGGTTGCTGTACCACCTGTAGCTATCTCCAGTGTTCTTGGTTTTGTTCTTCTTAAATCCCTAAGATCCCTAAGATGTGGCAAAATGCCCTGCACATTCTAAGGTTTTATTAACACAGTGTTTTATTAAATTATGTAACTGTGAGAGACATACCATATTTAGGGTTTAAACTATAAAAAGAGGCATTTATAGGCAGTTTTCTGATCATATCTGAAATGTGTGGTTTTTCACAATTCACAGTTGCACTAGGGATGGATGTAAGCCCTGCCAATTTTGGGGGTCCATTGTATGTATGAAAGGAAGGAAAAGGGATTGCTTTCTTGTTTTTCCTACCTCCTGAAGTTTTAATAGCTAAATGTAAAGCTCCTCGCAAAAAGGCTGAAGTGATATCTAATGAAATGTAAAAAAAAATGACTTCAACTGGAGAGGTTACTAGAATTTTAGTGTATGTGCTGCCTAAGCGAGCACTGGAAAGGATACTACAGTATCTATCTATGTATTTATTTAGAGACAGGGTCTTGCTATGCAGTTCAGACTGATCTCAAACTTGCAGCGATCCTCTTGGCTCAGCCTCCAGAGTGCTGGGATTACAGGTGTGTGGCAACCACATCCCTCTATACTCTCAATTTATAAAAACTCTAAGATTGATAAACCCAACTAATGAGAACAAAAAAGACCACTATTCAAATGCCTTTGAAGGAAAAAAATTCAAAATTTTGATTCTCATACTCATAGATAATAGGGCCTAGCTATAAAATACTTCCCCCAATAGAAAGCTTACCCAAGGCAATATTAGCTCTAAACTGTATTAAATTAATAACTAGCAATGGCAGTGGGGTTGATAGTTAATACTCACAAAAATAAGAATTGCTGGGCTAAGAAGGAGGCTGTTTTACTATGGTCTTCATTTTATTATTAAACCTAGGAAAAAGATAAAGAGCGAAGACTTTAAGCATTTGATCATGGAAGTTAGAATACTTTCAACCTGAGGTCAACAATCATTTATTTCTGGTCCTTATATATCACAGAACTATAGATTATAAACAGCCACTAGCAGCATTTACATTACTTGTAATGCAGTTGTTTAAAATTTGCTTTTGTAGGGCCAGGGATTTAGCTCAGTGGTTCCGCCGCCTGCCTCGCAAGCACAAGGACCCAAGTTCGATCTTTGGTACCAAAAAACCCACAAAAATTTGCTTTTGTATTACTTTCTGAAACAGAAGTAAAAAATGTAACTAAAACTCATACTTCAACGTCTAACTTGGAATATGCTGTGCTTCTAGAGGACATCATATAACTGCAAATATTTTAATTAATTCAAGATTACATCCCAATATTGTTTTCTCTCTCTCACTCTCTTAAACACATACATTCACACACACTTGCAAAATCTGAAAGCCATGTACTGCCCAATTCCATGAATTCTACTGTATTACAGTATAGAGTATGAATATGAAGTTTAAAATGCACAAAAAGCCTATGAAAAGATTATATTATGATGTTACAACTAAAAAAAGAAAACACAGTTGTGGAATTGAATCAGAGTGTATGAAAAGGTCACGATAAATTGTTTCCATGGTTGTCCTTTATTTGTAAGAGTATGAAGGTTTAAAAGCCAGTACGCAACGGCAGGAAATATTACAACTCATTTTTAAAAATAAAAAAAATTTTAAAGGTAATCTGAGTAATGAGTTGGTTAGAGTGTTTGATTTCTGTGAGCCATGATTATAAGTTGTAGTTTATACCATGTGACAGAACCACTTACAAGATACAGAACAGGAAGAATAGAACAAATTCATCCAACTTCTTAGTGGAGCATTCCAGTGTATATTTTATTGCAGGATATTTTCTACACACACACACGCACACATCAGCATACTTTTCATTTCAAAATTCACTGAAAAATCAAAAGAAATCTAAAAGAATCTCTATATGCTATTCATGCACCCCCACCCAGCTAATTCTACTATTCTGCCTTCCTTGTTTTGCTTTTCTTTTCTTAAAGAAATACAATTACACATGTAGTTTCTAATGTGCTATACTCTGATCCCATTCCACTTTCTGAAGATGCAATCGCATGCTTAAATTTGATGTTTATATCCTACGTTTTTACACTATTACTACAAATTTAAGTATTTAAAACTATACTGCATATCACTGCTACCAAGCTTTGTATAAATGGCATCATACCATCCATATCTTTTAAATAAATATACTACTACCTTCCTACAAAGATTTTGTTTTTGCTGAAGACTGTCAGTAATACACAACCCTCATTTTAAAAGCTATACAGTTTATCACAAAACTATGTCCCAATTTACCATTTCCTGTTGCTTAACATTTATATTGCTTTCAGTATTTTGCTACCAAAAATAAGATTTTTAAAAACATGTCTGAGTTCTTCTAGAGCATTTCAAGTCTAGGTATCTTCAACTTTACTAGGATATTGTCAAACGCTCCAACAAGAAGAATATGAAAAGTTCCCCTTTCTATACTTTCTTCATTTGAAAGTATATTTAAGAAAAACAGCTGCCATCTAGATGAAAATTTTAAAAATTTGTACATGATCAATTCCTTGTTTTCATCAAGTTTGTCTAACACAGGTATAACGAATGTTCCAAACAAACAGACCAGACTAAAATTTGGCCCAAGACACTTGTATAAAAATAAAGCTTTGATACTAGATTCTTCATCAGAGAATTAAGGAAAACACCAATACTTAACTATAACTTGTTACAGAAATGGTAAGATTCCCAAATAGACACTGAGCTTAGATAGATCCAAGATGACTAAAAGACACACACACACACACACACACACACACACACAGACACACACACACACACACAAATTCAAAAGATATGAATGATTTATTGGTGTGGAACAACACTCCACCATTTCATTTTTTACAATGCTTCTCACATGTGGTGTTCCCTCCAAAAAAGAAAAAAATCTCTTAGAGGTTGTAAAAACCACAAATTCCAAAGTCCCAACTCCAGAGGTTCTGATATAGCAAGTCCAGATAAATTCTTTATTTTAGGTTATTTTGGTACAGGTAGTCCATAGACATTAAGTGGTAATTAATAGAGGAAAAAGTGTTTTTATAGTAGGTAACAGTAATTAGGGTTACCTGTTAAATTACATCAATGTACTTAAAAAAAAAAAAAAGAAAAAGGAATCTCAATCTATGGTTGAATATGCTTGACTTCACAAGGCCAAAATAAGTTACAGGCTCATTTACTATTTCATATGAATAAGGTCATACTATGACAAAAGCTCTTTAGGTAGTAATACCAGAGGAGTATTGTTTCTATTTTGTAGTTTACTATGCTTGGTAAAAGAAAACATTAAGAGTAGGAGTGATCAGGAATGATTTTTAATGAAGATAAACAGGAAGAAACTATGGATGTCTTTTTAAAATAAAGAACCCAAAGTAAAAATAAAGGGCAAAATAAAATAGGAAGTAGGGACATAGAGCTTTCTCAAAGGAAAAGAGATCGAGATAGAGACGGGGTAGGAAGAAGAGGGAAAGAGGTTGAAAAAAGGAATTGGGGATGTGTTATGTACATGTACCGACTCTATACAAGGAATGTAAACATTATGTACTGCAAACATGTACACAAACCCAAAAATAAAGCAAAGGGATCAAGAGATGAGTAGATAGGGGAGGGAGGAAAGGCCATAGAAAAGGAATTAAGATACGTTATGTACATGAACGAATTTCTCACAAATAATGTAAACATTATGCACTACACACATGTACTAATAAAATTTAAAACTATTCTTAGTAATAAATAATCAGCAATAAAAAAAATAATGCTACTGATGCTAGGCGTATAATTCTAGCACTCTAGGAGGCAGAGGCAGAAGGGTTAAAGTCTGAGTCTAGCATGGGCAACTTAGTGACTCTGTCTCCACATAAAATTTTTTTAAAGGGTAGGGAATGTAGCTCAGTGTGAAGGCTTTGAGTTCAATCCTCAGTACTGGGGGAGGGGAAATGTTAGATTTAAAATTGGGATATTAAGTTTACACATTAAAACAAGAATATTATTTGTAGTTTCCCAACAGTTCTACAAATGAAATAAGAATAAAAGTGTAATATCCACTTTCTTGTAACTAAAATCTATTGGAATTATTTACATATAAGGAGAAAAATATGTGAACTTAGGTTATATAAATCTGTACAAATTCAAATTGTACAAATTGAGAACTTTTGTATATTATCTGAAATTATAAAGGCTCATTTCCAAAAGATTTAGAATGATCTGAAGTGACATTATTTTAATAATGAGAAACAGTAGGCATACTACTGTAATAGAGAAAATAGTTTAATAGTGAGAAAAAATAGGAGACATTTTCACTTGTGGCCTGCCTTGTTTTATTTACAGCACTGAATAGTACAGGATTTTAAAAATTATAGCAAAATCAACAGCCTTGTTTACATGAAGTTAAAAAAGTGAAGTTAAGGCCGGGGATTTAGCTCAGTGGTTTCGTCGCCTGCTATGCAAGTGCAAGGACCCAAGTTCGATCCCCAGTGCAAAGAAAAAAAGTGAAGTTAATATGGGCTCAGAATATGGCCAAAGGTGTGTGTGTGTGTGTGTGTGTGTGTGTGTGTGTGTGGGTTAAACTACTCTTGTATAGCCATAGTCAACATTACTTTTCTTTCCCAAATATGTATCCTGTTTTGTTTTTCATTTTTTGAGATAGGATTTCACTAAGTAGTTCAGGTTGGCTTTGTACTCACTATCTTGCCCAGGATGGTCTCGAACTAGTATCAGCAGCTAATCAGTAATAATTTTTTCAGTCTATCAGCTTAAAAGTGAAAAGCATGAAGCATGCCATTTATAATTCCACAAAATAATTTCCCATTCTAACAGGTAGAATTAACTAAATAAAAATCCAATGAATTAAAACTATAGATTATAGTAAAAAATAGCCTAAGAAATATAAGCACCTGCTATTTTCTTTATGCTACAGCGTGAAGAAAATACCTTTCTGTCAACGAAAGTGTCCTCCAAACTGTATGAGTAACTGACAGTTGGGGCTTTTAAACCTGGTCTGTAAAAACAGAGGGCTACAGGCTTCTTTGGCCACCATTACAGCATATTGATAGTATTCTAAAGAACAGCTGACAAGCAGTAACCATGCCCCTCTGCTCCCAGTTGTAAGGGACAAGAAAAAGAGAGGTGGTGGTAATATTTATTTATTCACTGTTACTGCTGCCCCTGCTTCTTAAGTAGCAAGCTAACAAAAGTATATGAAACAGAGGAAAAAAAAAAAAATGTTCTGCCCAACCTACTGACCAAGCCTGCTTATATCGCTATATGATAAAATTGTGATTTTTGTTTAAAAAGTGGGTGAACACAGAAGAAAAGACAAAATTAGTATTTTGGTTGGAAAGAGAACCTGCAATGTAGGCATAAAGGAAAAAAAATTAATGACACAATAACTGTCAGCTCCTAAGATTGAACTGCTCACTTATCAAAAGTTTCTGAGGAGTTTTAACCAGTTATAAGGGTGAATGCATAAAGAGGGTATCTTTTCTAGCTACTCTCCAGGGAATAAAGTGCTCAAATTCCAATCAAGAAATGAAATTAATATTTTGCTTATAAAATGCCCCTGGCTTCCTCCCAGGTCCCACACATCTAATCACAACCATATGTTTGACTTCAGACACTATTAGCAAAAGATTTAGCAAAAATCCCAACTATTAAAAAAACTTCCACTGCAATTTACCTTCTTTAAATGTGCAATACAGAGCTAAAAGCTTAGTAACCACACAGGATCAACTGATGAGTAACAGAAACAGAAATACTGACTGTTAAATTACTACCTTTAAATACAATGTAATGGTACTTAAAGACCTACAACTTTAAATGTAAGTCATGTTTAAATTTATTTAATTTTTAATTTTTTTGTTTTCTTTTGAGAGAGGCTCTTGCAATGTAGTTCAGGCTGGCCTGGAGCTCAGGGTGATTCTCCTGCCTCAACCTCTCTGGTGCTGGGATTAGAGACATGCACCACCATGCCCAGCTTTCATGTTTAAATTTAAATGCAAGCCACCATTCACCACTTAAGGAATTTTTGATTCAGAAAAATAAAAGTAGGAAAAATGTGAACATATTTTGACACATAAACTCATGCATAGGCTACAATTGGCAACTTAAACAGTAATACCTAGTTACAAAGCCTATTTTTTAAAAATAATGAAATTGTAGTAATATTTTAAAGTCAGATATTTTATAAAATAAAATACCAACTTTTTTATTTTTATCAAAATTGAAAAAGTATTTTTTTTTGCTTAGCAATTCAGTAACATGTTAAAAATCAGTATTTTTGAAGACCACAAGATAACTTTGCCCATATTTAGTATGAAAGCTATATTGTAGAAAAGATTAAGAATAATTACTAAAGAATTTTTTAAAATGTAGATATTCAGAAATAGCAATGGATTAATCCGCTTCAGAAATCACATTTAAAACATACTGCATGTTTGCCCTCCAAGTGATTCTAACCACGAAAACAGGAAAATAAAACTAACCCAAGTAATATATTAATGAAATATCAAGTGTGGTCTGCAGTGCTAAGAGAAATTCTACTTCAAAATATTTAATAAAAATTAAAAACCCTTGAAGTAATTAAATGTTACCTTTTGAAAAATACTGATCAGAAAACACTAATTCTGACACATTAGGACTAGAAAACACACACACATGCACAAAGTTGCTTCAAATAAACATTTTAAAATTTTTTATTAAAAGTTAATTGTATGTTATTTTAAAAATCTTCAGCAATATTCTAACCTCTATCAAAGAAAACTCCCATACTTTACAAATCTGCTTAAAATATGTTGTCCTTTTAATCTAGTATTATACATCAGTCAAATTAATGAAAAAAATTAAGTTCCTTCATTCAGATATATGTTAAATACCCTAAAGATAAGTGTTTTAATAAAATAGAAAGACAATATACTGTATTTTAAGGACAATTAAAGGTTTAATTAGATATAATCAGATTTGCAAATTTAGAAGTCAAAATTCTTACAAAAGTGCACCTTAAGGGTTGATTAAAAGGAACCAAATCAAACAAAACAATAAAAACCTTTATCAACCCTATGACAATAGTACATACTATTAATTAGGTTAATTTCACATTGTAAGAAATGACAAATATAAGAAAACAATAACTGTATTGATGCTTTTAAATATTTACTAAGTGAAATTTTTAGAAGTTTACAAGCTACTTCATAACTACAGAGGACAATGCATATGTTAAATATTTGTTTTCAAACAGTAAGTTTGTGGATACCCTCAGACATCATAAGTTATAAACTATAAATCAGGAACAACTCTGTGATTGTATATTTTTACTTACAATATAACTCATGGTGTTTCTTTTTCTTCATTTAACTCATTAAGGCCAAGTGAAAGATACCTGGATTGAAAGTGATAAAGTGAATCCAGATACTCAGATAACTATATTTTTCAATTTTCATCTTTAAACACTCTCTAACTTGGAAAACACTGATTAACTTGGGGAGAGGGTATTTCCATCCTATTCAAGATAAACTACTATCTTTACAACACTTTACAATGAAAGTTACGAAGATAGTCTATACTGTGTATTTATCTTAAAACAATCACCTTACAGAATGACACCAATAAAATAGTAACAGAACATCTATAAAGGTACCAGGTTTCTATTAAATTTTAACATTTTATTTAGCCTCAATTGGTAACAGACTCACATTCCTGGGTTGTCTAATAAATTGTTTAAAGTTAAAAGGAGTTCTACCATCATGATAATTATACTTCACTTTTAAGTCTAACTTAAAATTTTTCTTATAAAAACAAACCTTTGGGATTTTCCATATCTTAATATTTTTAGATAAAGATTTTACAGAAAAATTAGTCTTATATTTTAGCAATTCTCTAAGAAATATCTTTAAAAAATATTACCATTAATACTTCACTGTGAAAGAATTAACTGGCTATACTTAGTAAAATTGTTCAACATTCATTTTCATTATATCAGATTGTCATTTAGAAAACAAAAATTATAGTAGCTAAATACCTACTGAAAATTTCAAGTGAAACTATAATAAAAAAAATGCCAGAAAAATGATTCTGTGAAGTATTTTGGAGGTTAAGACAATAAAAGTTATTGGTTTTTCAGGGATTCTACAAGTTTATTATTGAAGAGCTAGCAACTTTTGATATGAACAAGTTGAATGTTTTTAATCAGAGTATCTATGAGTAAGACATTAGTTTCTGCTTCAGAAAGTGGGTTTTTCAGTTTCAACCAAATTGGCACTTTTGGTTAGGACACCACTTGTAATGCTTTATATTCTCTTAGAATTTTCTCAATCTTATCTTTGTAGACTCTACCTACCTCTCTCTACCTGTCAAATAAACAAAAACCAAATTCCTTTTGATTTAAATCCTTCATTTTATAAAATGAAGTCCACTATATATGTAATTATTTTACATAGCACATTGTGATAACATCCTTAAGGGAAAAAAAGAGAAAAAATTATTATACAGTAAGTATATACTCTTGGGAATAAATTTGTTCAGTTGGAGTTGATGTAATGCAATTTGTGATCAACTGTATTAAAAAAAACCTAGTTTTAATAAGCAAGACAGCTCAGTTTTGACCACTTCACAGGATAATTTATTTTAATTAATTTTTTACTTAGTGATTTTAGTTCACCTAAGTTTCAGCATTACCAATTGTCAAGACCAGTTCTGCTGCAAAGATATAAAGTTATATGCATTTAAAATTCATTAGTATACCTTAATCTCCTAATCATGTTCCAACGCATGTGAGTATTCAATCAAAGAAGTTTGGTTGTTTTCCAGAATTGGCTCTCTTAAAGGTCAAAACCTGCAATAAAAATGTCATGTATTATAGCATGAAGACACTCAACAGATTTGTCTCCTGCAGTTCCACAGCTGATCCCTGAACACAGAAGTAGTCTACAAAATGCCCCCAATGATGCCAATGCTCAAAGAAGCCCTAACAGTGAAAATAATGTTTCAAAAATAGAAATAACTTAATGAGGAACACCTGTGATATGCTTTGTCATCCGAAGCCTCTTCACACAAATCAGAATTTGTTTCTGCTTTCATTTCTCTTTAGGGCATTTGTTTTCAAAGCAGCATGGATGCATGTATGAAGGTAGAGAACCAGCAGAAGGGACTTTAAAAAGAATCAGATTATAGTTTGTGCTCTAAAACTCAAAGTCCACAAAGCTTAAAAAATTACTCAAGGGATAGGGACAAAATTTAACTACATTTTCCCTCAAATTATCAAATGAATTAATGATAACAGAACTTACCATTATTTTCAACTTTAATTTTTTACCAAGCCTGAGTGAATATTTGGACATTTCCAAGTATTTTAACACATTACAGTTGTAACATCAAAATTTCAGATTTTTTAAAATAATTAAAATATTTACAGATAACTAGTGGATAGCTACTGAACCAAATAGTTTTTTAACGTTTCCAAGTGGAGGTGAGATTTGAGTAGATAAGTGTTTTGTTTTTATATACTTCATCTTTCTGAATCTTAATGATTTAGTAGCAATTAACTATATAAAAATAATAAATTACCAAGGTTTATTTTTTAACCAAGGTTTAAATTACACAGTGCTCTGAGTTTTCCACTTTTATTTAAGAACGGCTTAGGAAAACAAACAACAACAAAAAAATCAAAACCCAAAACCCTTTTATTCCCAACTCAAATATTTGAGCTTAATGACAAAAACCACACAATCATGTATCTCACAAATACCATTTCAAATAGCATAATTTTTTTAAAAATTAAAAGTTTTCTACATTTTGAGCACACTGAAAATTAAGGTATATTGTTTAAAAATACAGAAAAAATCCTAAATGTTAAATTTTTAATGTAGCAGTGTAAGTTCTTAAACAGTAGGGAAACAAAAAAAACGCTACATAATGACAAAAGAGGTCCGGATATAAATAAGAAAAATATTAAACTAAATGGGTATGATAAACATGTGGTATTAAAAGGCCTTCAGACAGTAAAACTCTAATCACAGCTTATTATTAATATTTAGAAACCACTACAAGTCTTTCTAATGCAAACATTCTCTAGTGAAAATAAGATGGATTAAACAAAAGTGTATTAAACTTCTTATGACTAAAGTATTAAGAAAAAAATCAAAATATGTATTTAGTGTCAATTCCATTATTTTGTGTTTCTTAAAAGGAAGACACTTAAAAACATCTTTAATACTACTAGAAAAACACCAAAAGTGAAACAAGCAAACACTATGGGGTAAAAAAAAAGTCATTTTTCTACCAGAAAGCACTATTTATAGATCTACAGTCTTTTGCACATACAATCAGGTTGTTACACATATTAGTAATATGCTATTCTAAATATGATGTTATTAGCCTAACAATCTCCATTTTAATGTAACGGCTGTCACTTTATCTTCTTTTCAACATTATTCGAAATAAAGTAGTATTTGATTACTGATTTTCTTTGGCCTCATGAGATTTGGGACAACAAAATTTCAGCAATCACAGTTTTAGACTTCTAATTATGTGCCAAAATTAGCTGTAAAGCACAGTGTTTCTAAGTTTGCTCAGTTTGAAAAAAAAAAAAAGAAACGAGACAAAACTACACATATATTCTGACAATCCTAACATGTGTGTTCTAGTTATAATCAGACTAATCTTTCTCCCAAAAAGGGTAAAAAAGAAATCAATGTGAAGTTGTCACTAAACAAAAGGAAAAAAGGAAGACAAGAAACCATTTTAAGTCAGTAATAGTTTAAGAATACAACTGACTTTTTCAAAACTAAATTTACAATCCAATTGGTGAAAGCTTATGTGTCATAGAAGAAATAGCTAATATGGTCTCTGGTGATTTTTTTTTCTTTTTGTAAACTCAACCAACTGACGGATATTTCATAATTAAAATATTTTGTGACATTCTGAATAGTTACTAGGAACCAATAAATAGAAATAAAAATTTACATATGCCTTCATAAAACAAAACCAAAAATGTAGTACACAAAACAAGGAATCCAGAATGCGAAAGCTACTCTGAAATTTTCATCCTTAGATGTGGTTCTTGATAAACATTAAAACTGATATTAATCTGATTAGAAAATACACAGTATTATATACAAACACTCGAGGCTACATTTTGGAAATATACAATGAAGACCAGTCAACAGCATTAAAAAAAGTCTAAAATTAGACTTTTACTTGGATTTAACAAAAAAACAGCTGTAAGGCCTAATGAAATATTATAAGTCTGATACCTTTTCTTGTTCCCTCTCCCCACAGTATGTAAATCTAGCTTTAAAGAAAAGATGAACTACTGTAGCAGCATCATTCCCCACCATTGTTTTCCTGTAGTAATGACTTTCTCGGTCCTTACAATAGAGCAGAAAACAAGTTAGAACTACTGTATCAATTTCTATAGAGAAACACAGATAACTAACCGCATATAAACATTAAAAAAATTTATCCTTTGGACTAAAACCTACATGTTTGCAAGTACAACACCAAAATCTTCCTTTATTTACCCAGCATCACATAATAGGGAAAATATTTTGAATGGTGTAGATTTTATTTGGGTGATAGTGTGTTCAAAACCTTTAAGTATCTTAAGGGAATTCAACACTTCTTTCAAACTGTGCCTTATTAAACAAAATAATCTTCACCCATCACCCATAAACTAAAGCTCTAAAAAAGTACACTTAACCAGTCCAGAGGAATCCAAAGTTTCCCCCTACCCGTAAACACTCTCCCAGTCACACAAGGGAATGAAAATTAAAATACAAAAACAAAGGCCAATCATAAAAATCAAGCCCCACTATTCCTGGTACTCTAGGTATAAAGACATTTAAAACAGAAATGAGATATCCTACAAATTTCATTACATCAAATTTTGGAGGATAGGCAGCACCTCTTAGAAAATTTTCAAGAAATGATCGAAAACAGAGCTTTGAAAAAAAGGTAATGAATACGGGTTCAATGATCACAATTATTGTTATGAACACAATACAAAACAGCATAATTTATACTCAACTATACTGCTTATTTATATAAATTTACAGTCCTATAGAGTTTGTAAGTCTTAGATGTTTTTATATGAACATTTTCTTACAATGTGTATTTGACTTAATATAAAATACACTTTCAAAATTTCAATTACTATTCATAAAAGGATATATATTCTTGTGAAATTTAAAATTTTTCTAAAGCAGCAACAGTTGTTAGCACAGTTGTTAGTTTACTGTCTTTTCTCTAAAAACCACACCCGCCTCATATCAAGACGCAATTAAATGGAATGACAAGCTTGATAATATATTGATGGCTGTCTCAAGCAACAATAAACAAAAATCAATTGAAAACCAACCAAATAAAACACATGCACTGAGGTATAAGATATATTTTTTTATCAAAGGAATGCAATCACATATACTATGCACCTGTTCATACTTACTTGTTCTATTAGCTAAATTAAACATAAGTCTTGCAAATTAAAATTTAAACTCCACTGCAATGACTGAATTAAGGAAAATTCTAAAAATATATGCAATTTTATGGAGCATGTGGAAAAAATGATTTAGCATTAAGAAAATTAAAGTTTCTTTTCATCAAAATAACTCTCCAGTCATCTGCATTCAGCAAATACATGTAGTTTAAGATGGAAATTTTTTATCTAAGGAAAAAAAACACCCTAAATCCTTCACTTAGTTTTTAACCAATAGGAACACAGCAAATACATAGGTTTTGTAATTTCAGCCAGCAGAAATACAACTTTGGGAAAACAGCCCCTTCAGTTTTACTTTTAATATACATTTCAGAACCATCCGAAAGTCCCCTATGGAAGGAAAAAAACCTATTAAACACTAACTTTTCTTTAACTCCCTGTCTTAACGTTTTGTACCTATTTCTGTGGTTCTTCTACTAATAATACAATTTTACGGTAGGTCGAGAAAAATAATCTAGCGTTTAACATTCAACACCCCCCCAGTCCCGCTTCCTTCCAGCCAATCAGTAGGTAAAGAAGTCCAGGATTTAGAGCGCTGCGTTAGATACAATTTGAAAAACATTACATTTCGTTCTCCTATTCTCCTCCGGAAAAGATACTGAGTGAGGGTGGGTCCCCCAGTCTTCATGGAAATATACGAAATTAATCGTTGTATTGCTTTCAGAGTTAAACTCCATAGGCTGACAGTCCTAAAGAGCGTGTCACTGCTGTTCCCAGGAAGCGTTATTCCTCTTTGCGAATTGAATAGCTGCTGCAAAAAGCATCTCCACGATATTTTCAATGCAGAGCCGTGCGCCCCACACGCAAAACATCCCACCATCGAAGAGTTAATCTAGTGGTGCCTTCAGCGCAGAAAAGGTATTCGATATGTAATGAACGCTTAAAATGGGATTTTTATAAATGCTATTATTACCCATGAAGTATTACCGTTAAAGCCGTCACTAGCTCCCTTTATTCATAAGCTGAGACTAACAGTTGATAAACACCAACAGCTAAGAAAAAAAAATCACTAACGGAAAAGACAATTCCTCTTTTTTCTCTCCGCCTCAGCGTCAAGAGTTCTCAAGAAAAGGTGGGGCTATCAAAATTACCAGTAAAGTTGTCCTAAAAGACTTTTCTGGAGGCAAACATCAATAGTTTCACAGATTGCTTTCTTTCTTCGAGACAAGTTTCAAGGTTTCGATCAGACAAGAAAATAGTTAGCTCAAAGCCCCATCTTTTATCTCACCCTGAACACCCCTCCCCCTCCGAAAGGACAACGCCGGGAAGGCTAAGGACAAATCTCGAACAAGAAGCGAAAGTCCAGCATCTTTCCTAGGAGCCCGCTACCACCTCAAAAGCCTGTCCCCGCCCCACGCAGCCAGCTAGGAAGCGCCAGGAGTGGCCGGTCCTATTCCCACCTAAAAAGACGCACCGAGACGAGGCGCCCAGGGAGGACAGCAGGCATGCGAAACACTTTCCTGGGGCCCTCGAGAAGCAGAGTCAAAGGTAGATGGCTGGGTGCCTGGGGTGGGGGAGGACTAACTCCGACCGGAGGCACCCGTTACTCCGGGTCCCTGAATTTTCCATCCACTTAAGTTTCTTATCAAAAGAAGACGGCCATCCGAGGGTCGGGAAAACTGCAAAGGCAGCTCAGTTCGGAAATGGGGGGAAATGTGCGTTCCTCTCTCCTGTCAGGGCGCCTGGGCCCAGCGGAGACCCCGCCGCGTCCCAGCCTTGGGCTGGGGGTCTTATTGACAGATCCGCTGGTAGGCGGCGGCTTGGCTGCAGCCTTCTTCGTCCCGCTCAAAACTGTAGCTCCCCTCCCCCCGCCCCCGTCCCTCGGCGCTCGCGCCACATCGGGCCCACCGCCGCTCATTCGCAGACGGCCAAGTTATCCCCTACCCTATCTCTAGGGAATTTTTGTGATTAAGTGGGGGCGGGCCCAGCGCCCACTCCCTGTACCCCATCACTGCCACCTTCCGAGTACCGCTCTGCTACTTCTATAGGTTCTTACCGACTGCGCCAACGCTGGCCAAGTTCCGCGGCCTGCTCTTTCCTGTAAGTTATTTTTGGTGATTTTTTTAGTGATTTTTCGGCGTGGTCTTAGTGGTGCTATACTCTCGGACAGGTTATCCCGTCTCTCCCGCTAGATTGATGAGATCAGGCATCACTCGAAAATGGCGCCGAAAGCGCTGAGGCTCCTCATTCAAATTCGTTAGAGCCAACCCCGCCGCCCTGGAGCATGCCGGGAACGCGGGCTGCTTCCACAGCTGTCAATACCGCCTCTTAACCCCCACCCTCTTGCTGTCCCTGCGTTTACGCATGCGCAGACCCACCCGCCATGCCTTGCACATGCGCAGAATCATGGCTGTTCACTTCTTTGGCAGTTCACTTGCCCATTTTCTTGCGCGTGCGTGCCGCGTCTTTGTACAGCGGTGAAGGTAAACTTCAGCTGCGGGCTGGCAAATCCACAGAAACCTATTCGGCGACAGGCATTTAATCTGCAATTGGAGGTAAACAAAATTGGAGTCCAGTTCAGGTGAAAAGAAAAAAACGTTTTACAAATCTCCAATCAGCCGAATGTGGCTCTGAGACCCTGTATGTGGACACAACCCTCCAGTGTATAGAGCTCTTGCCGATCGCCAGCGCTTAACAGAAGCTATCCCACTTAGCCGCGTAACAATTTTTTTTTTTTTTTGGACAGGGTTTCACTCTGTAGTTCAGGCTGGCCTTGGACTCACAGTGATCCTCCTAGCTCAGCCTCCCGAGTGCTGGGATTACAGGCGTGCGCCACCACGCCTGGCTCAAGCAGAGGAACAATTTACACGAGGTAGGAACTATGGTATTATTCTCGGTTTCAAGACCAGAAAGCCAATGCTCAGAGAAAGTAATTTGCCTCACAGAGTACAGGTACCAAATGCGTGGCGAAGTCCACATCCGTTATATTCCGATGCCCGGGCTACTTGCACCAAGCTGTACGCCCCAACCTTAGCAAACACAGGAGGTGTGGTTATCCCCTTCCCTCCACGGCGCTCGCGCGCCCTTGCCTAGAGTTAAAGATTATTAAAGTTTGCTGGAGCCCTTCTCGGTCCTTGGCTGCCTGTTACAAGTACTAGTCCGGAGACAGAAATAGGCAATCTGTAAGAGTCACTTCGGGTGATTCTTTTAAAAATAGCGTGGTACATGTGTAAATACCGAATAGTTTCTCTGGTGTGAGAAACTGAAAGTGTAAATAAGGACTAAATGTATAATAGGTCATGTGAAATAGGAAGAAAAGAGGCAAAGGGGAAGGGGAAGTGGGAGGGCTAGGGGAAAGGATAGAAGGGAATGGGATTAATATGAGAAAATGGAAAAATAGGAACAAAATCTTTGTAAATAGGGAGGACTGGAGGGCTTGAAGGGAGGGCTGGGCAAGGGTGAAAAATAAGAACCAAGAGAGACTATGTAGAGGTGCAAATTTCCAATGATGAATGTCATTATATTGTATACCTAAAATGTACCAATGATTAGAATGAATAATCGATAATGTAAAATAGGAAGAAAAGGTCCAAAGGGGTTGGGGTAGTGGGAGGGTCAGGGGAAAGGAAAAATGCTGAGAAATGGAAAAAATGGAAATAAAGTCTTTGTAAATAGGGAAGGGTGGAGGGCGTGAAGGGAGGGTAGGAATGGGGAAAAAATAAGAACCAAGATGCATTATGTAAAGGTACAATTCCCAATGAGAAATGTAATTGTGTTGTATACCTACAATGTACCAATAAAAGAATTTAATACAAAAAAAATAAATAAAAAATAAAAAATAAAAATGGCTTGGTAAATTAGTTACTGAATCCAGCAAAGACGGGTTTCCGTTATGCTACGCACTAAAAAAGTACAGTAGTGGTAACAGCCACCACGTAGTGTATAGGGCACTGTGCTAAATAAATACTTTGTGGATTTTATATGTTTATTGCCCGTAACTGTCCTATATAGTCGGTATTATCTTCATTTTACAGATAATAACAACTGATGCTCGGAGTATGAAACCTGCCCCAAAGTCCTAGGACAAACCTTTGTCCATCTTGAAAAACTGGGCGCTAGAATAGGACAATAAATAATGTGTCAGATTTTTCCCCTCTTGTATGGGGATTGAACCTAGGGCCTTCACACTGATCTATGACTCCCCTCCCCAACACACACATTCACTGAGCTATATCCCTAGGCAAATCGCTTTCCCCCTTTAAATTTTGATACAGGATCTTTAAAAATTCCCCAGACAGTATTCAAATTTGCCAGTCTCACTAAGTCGCTAAATTGCCCAGGCTGAGGTTAAATCTCCTGCCACAGCCTTCAAAGAATTCTGGGCTTACAGGCATGTGCCACCACACCTGGCTAAATTTTATCAACATTTTAACACCTTTCTTTAAAGACCTCTTAATCATTTATTTGCTTGGGAGACTTACTCTTCAAGATTTGTGATTGACTACTTTTTTCTTAAGCCCAAAGTGCATTTTCTTAGGAATCCAACAGTTTAAAATCTTATTATGTACCAGTTTCTGTTATAAAACAATTTATAATGAACTACAACTGTTTGAGTATAAAAATATATCCCATCATTTTGAGGGTTAAGTAAAACAATGAATATGGAAAGTTCCTGAAGTACTAAGAAATAAGGAAATGGGAGAAAGCTGCCATGGTTTGCATTATTGAGGTACAATTGGAAAAGAAATGGATGCTAGCACTTTGAGATTGTCAGAAGTAACATGGCAGAGTAGTATATGTGTTTTAAATCTCCATGGCACTTTTGCACTGTTCAAGTGGGTAGACTGGAAGAAAATGGCCTGGGTATGAATCCCTGCTCTACTAACTTGCTAGGTGTATGACTTTAGGTGATACTTTATCAGTTGGACCTTTTGTTTGAAAAGGAGTAATAGTAGCTCAGTGGATAGTTTTAAGCACGTAAGTGAGGTGATATGTTAAAGGCCCCTCCCCATTTCTGTTACTGGGGATCAAACCTAAGCATGCTTTACCACTGAGCTACATCTCAGCCCTGTTTGAGACTAGGTTCTTGCTAAACTGCCTAAACAGTGGTCTTCCTGCTTCAGCCTCCTGAGTAGCTGGGGTTGGACTTACAGAGAGGTGCCATCATTTCTGGTTTACTTAAAGGCCTTTTAACAATGCTTGGTATATTAGTAAATATTAGCTATTTTTGTGAGTCATTAACACTGACCTTTAAAATGCCTTAATGGGTATTTTCAAACTTAAGTCAGTGCCAGTAGGACTTAGCATTCTTGTTCAAGGACCCCTTAAAATGATACATAATCTTGACAAATGATTTTTGATAGATATGAGTAATGCTTCTTGTCAGGTGAGTACAGATGTTAATTCTTCTTACCATTTCATAAGGTATGACATATGGAAATGGAATAGTTTTCTTTTTCTGCTTATTAAAGAAAAAATTCCAGACCAGTTGAAAATACAAGTAAAAATTGTCCATATGTCTAACACTTAGATATAATTACTTATTCTTTGTACTTAAAAAATATAATATACCTTTTGGGAGAATCTGGAAGTCTAGATACATAGTATGTTTGGGGAATTTATTTGCAAGATTGTGCTAGAACTTTATGAATAGACAGATAACACAGCCTGGTATCCTCACTGTAGAATTCTTGATAACAGTCCTCTTATAGATAAATCCTGTCAAGAAAATTGTAAAGTGATGAAGATGTTGATAAGTAATATTTATTGAATTCCTATTATGTGTCAAGCACTGTGCTAAGCATGCACATGTATTTTCATATTGAGTCCTTATATAACTAGTGAAGTGTGTGCAATTATCTCCATTTTCCATAGGCTGAAATTTATATGGAGGTCTCTTTTAGAAGATTTGTCTGATTTTGTTTAAAATATTATTTAGTGAAGCAAAAAACTTTTGTTGACGTATCTTTATTTGCTCAAATGAGAGAAAACAAAATCAAGTAATATAGTTCATGTGTCTGAACAAAAATCCAATTGGAAAAAATGAGTTTTCAAAAATGAAGAATTTTATGTTAGACCACAAGGGGGTGTAAATTCCTGAATTACATTTAAAAGAAAAAACAGAAAAAGTGCTTTTACTTTGGACTGTAAAACTCATGGGTTAAAAACTAGTAAGAATACCTGCACAGAACTTTAAAACTCCATAAAGTGATGTATTTTATGAGAAGAACTCAATTATTTACATACTCAATTAGGGCATACAGTTTTTAGCTTGCTTTCTTCACTATAGCAGTACAGTTAATTATCTGTTTCCTACCCTTTTCTACCCACTCAGTTTGTGTCTCTGGATACTCCTCCTTATTTGTCATAAGAATCCAACTTGGGACCGGGGATTTAGGTCAGTGGTTTCTCAGCCTGCTGCGCAAGCGCAAGGACCAGAGTTCGATCCCTGGTACCAAAAAAAAAAAAAGAATCCAACTAAAGTCATAATTTAAGATCTCGGCTTTATGTTTGCAAAGTGGAAAGCAATCACCAGCAAATGAATGGGAAATATGGGTAATGTGGAAAATAGAGGTCTTTAATTTCAATGCTTTTTCCCCCCCTCCTGCTGTTTCTGAGTAACTTAAAACTGATGGAGAATGTTGGCTTCAACATAGTAACTTATTTGGAAAGCTGTAGGTATGTGCATCTTTCAAAAAAGAATGTAGGCTCTTAAAGAAGAAAAAATTCTAAAAAGTAACTTGAAAACAGTATACATTAATGAATATTTTAAAAGCAGTTGTTTAGCAGGGTTTTCTTTTTTGTTTTCTGGTACTGGGACTCAAACTCAGGACCTCGTGCTTGCCTGGCAGGCAGGGAGCCACTGAGCTAAATCCCACTGTGTAGCAGGGTTTTCAAATTTTATTTTCCTGTTGGTCTTCTCTGAGGTGGAGTTAACCTTTTCAAACTTTTGAATTGGAAATCATTTAAATTTGCAAAAGGTTTAGAAATAAAAAAAGACCAGAGAACAAACCTTGTCATTTGCTTGCTCTTGTGTGTGGATGAGTTCTCTTTTATATATGTTATTTTATATAACATTTTTTTCCTGAACTATTTTCAGTTACGCTGTAGATCCTAAACACCTGAGTGTATTTTGTGTCAACTTCCTAAGTTTACATAGAAATAATACTTTATCATCCATACTCCAATATGATGGGTTGATCCTTGCCACATATCTATCTCTCCCCCATCCCCTGTAGGATCCAATCTTGGTGTAGATAATGAATACTTAATTGTCACATCTCTTTAGCTTCCTGTACTT